AAAACAAAAACAAATGGACCTTTAGTGGAAAAGAGATCGAAAAATGTTGTTTAGGATCATTAATTGCAATGTAGTTTTCCCAAACACGAAGTAATGAATGTCGCAGTTTCAACACAAAAGATTCATCACTCGTTTTAGCCCTCATTTCTTGCCTTCATATTTCGTACAGTCCACTGTACAATCCCCTTGTAACAACTTATCCCTTAACGACGCTAAGCAGCACGAAATGACTAACTGTGGCATTGACTGCATTTAGCCTCTCCAAAACAAAGAGAATAGCAGTGGACAATGTGCATGACTCTTATGCGCACAACTAGATCTCAGGGAATTGGATTTTAACATGCGTTGCAAGACAGAGTTTGCTTCTGGCACGCGTATAAGCGGAAAATTGGTTCTAGCTTGACTGCTGAGGCTGCTGGATGACTTATTATGCTGTAGAGAAATATTCAGAAGACTCATTTGTTCTCGACTGCGTGTTTCCAGCTAATAGCCGCTATCTGTACTTTGCGTGTCAGCTTTACAACTCAGATGTGTAAATATCGGCGAGTAAGTTAAAATATTAAGTATAGGCGATACAAGATCTACACAAAATTGGATTTGTTCATCGTGATATTAAACCATCAAATTTCGCAACGGGCCGCGAGGACAAAATCAACACCATATTCATGTTCGATTTTGGCCTCTGCAGACAAATCATGTTTCCGGGCAAAGGTGGAAAACTCAAACTTCGCGAACCTAGGAGAAAGGTTATTTTCACCCAAACAATTCAGTCACTTTTTTTTCCTCCATCTAAAATAATTACTTTGCGCCTTGCTTCTATTTACAAATACGCTAACCAGTAAAGTGCTTAGATATGAGACATGAAAGACGAAATAAGTTCTGGATATATGCAAGTGCCCTGTCAAACCGACAAATCGCGCTCCTTCGCTACGCGGTCGCATCAGTATTCTTCAAATCACCGTTGCCACATCAAATAGCCCTCATCGAAGACAAAATCATTCAAGCTTAATGAAAGGAATGTTGCAAATTAATTAGGAGAGAGTGGGGTGAGGAAGAAAGGAAAGGGTGAACAAATTTCAGTCAAAAGGAAGAAACCATGGTTAAATGAAGGCAAAATTAGCAGAAAATTGCTGAACTAAACCCAACAGCGAACTGGATACAAAGGCACAACTAGGGTGAGCTGCAGCCCAATCGGTGACAGCAAGCACTAGAAAGAGACGAAATTCCTATCAAGCGTGTTAGCTCCGGATGCGCCCTCTTTTGGCCCAGGATTCGCGTTCAGCATTCATTCTTCAACCAAATACCGATGACTCTGAGCTCAGCAAGAACTATTGTACTGGCAGGTTCAATAATTTCCCACATGACATTGAACTCACTCGGTCTTGTGCTTCTACGTATAATGGGCTCAAGCCAACAGAAGTTACTGAGGAAGCATTGGGAGCCGGTATACCAATGCATTTTTGTGACACGTTGTTCTTGGCAAACAGTTTCACAGTGCAATGTAATACACATATGCATGAGTATAATGCGCTTAATGGTGCTCATTAAGCAGACTTACATTAAACAGGCAATAGTACAGAAAGATGGTCCGAAAGTTAATTTTACGTTTCCGTTTTTACAGTTGGCTCGTGACTACGCTCCCCAAATTTCCCTTCCAAAAAAATCCTTTCCAGTTACGCTCGTAAAGAAAGCTTTAAGCGGAAATGCTGCTGTAATGGAAAAAAATTTGTTGCACTTTATGCCCGTGATGTGCTTAGGAGTGGAAATCGTAAGCGTAGTTTACTAGTCACGAGACAGAAGGATTCGAAAGTTGATTAATTCACATTTTCGGGCCCGCATATGACTACTGATTACAATCCCGATCTACAAACAAAAAAAAAGAAAAAAAAGGAAAGAGGAAAAAAGGAAAAAAAAAGAGATTTTGCGTACACTTCTGGAATTGTGTACTGCGTATAGGCACAGTTCCAAAAAAAATTATATTTCTAACTCTCCCCATGTTTAAACCATCTAACTGACATAAGGAATTAGTAGGCAACAGCACTCTAAATATCCACATATCATGGTCTAGGAGAATGCGGAAGTTGATTTTGCATTTCTTAGCCCACATGCGCTCCGAGATTATGCGGTGAAAATTTTAGCCTGCTGCAGCTCTAGAATTCACTTGTACTGCAAGCAGAAACGATCATACACAGACAACTGTTCTCGGATTAAAATCTTTGACTTATGCTTAAGGCCGGAAAAAGTGAGCGCAGCATCGCATCTGCTTCATTTATCGCCGTTGTGCTTCCACTTGAGCAAATCAACCACTTCCGCAACGACAGCATTGTCACAATATTTACAGTGTATATTATGCAAGTGTATGATGAGCACCACACGT